GCGTTACACTGAACATCACATCAGCTGGTGGACATAAATACAGTACAGTAATATTCTATTCACAAAGTACTAACAATACTATGTTCATCTTACTTGTGAAAAGTTACCCCCCGAGACCTGACGTCAACAGTCTGTCGATATGAACAGAAATAAACTGCGAAGTGCTGAGACATCTGCTTTAACCAAATAAGGACGACCGCTCAAAGATGGTGGCCGAAATTCCTGCGCCGCAGCAGCCAATGAGGGATCAAACTTTTATATGATATCTATGGACAACACAGCAAGCTCTCGCCATTTCTTTTATGAATTCGCGTATGAAACAAAATTGTACAGCGCCTTCCAGGGTACTACACGTCCATGTCCTCAGTACCAGTAATGAATTGCGGTTTTCAGGTTGGCAGACGTGGGCAGCACGGTGGCGCAACTGGTAGAGCTGCTGCCTCTCAGCGAGCAGGTCCCTGGTTCAAACCCCGGTCCAGGGGCCTTTCTGGGTGGAGTTTGCATGTTCTCTCCATACATGCATGGGTTTTCTCCGGGTACTCTAGTTTCTTCCCACAGACCAAAAACATGCATGTTAGGCTGATTGGTAACTCTAAATTGTCTCTAGGTAATGGTTGTTTGTCTCTATGTGTCCCTGTGATGGACTGGAGACATGTCCAGGGTGTACCCCGCCCCTCGCACAGTGATTGCTGGACATGGGCACCGGCGACCCCCGTGACCCAAAATGGAATAAGCGGGTAAAGAAAATGGATGGATGTTGGCCGACGTGTAAACTAAAGCTGAAAGCATAAGATGACGTCATGGAGCCGTTTGATTTCCCATCATGCATCTGTTCTTGAAAAGCTAAAACAGACTTAAAATAAACAAAAATAAGAAAATAAGATGTGCAAAAGGATTCAGGCTTTCTGTTGTTCCAGGCTCTATTTAATTTGAACCCAGAATTGGAGCCTTCATTTAGTTTTAAATTCTAATTTTAAAAGCTCATTGTCATTTAGCTCTGTGATTAACAATTTACCAGCTTGTGTGTTTGAGCATAAACTGTATAAAAGATGGATGCAGCCTCTTGAAGTGGAAGGTGAAGCCACTTTGATGGCCCTTGAACAGGCATAATATTCAGCTGCTAGCAGGACACATCAGGTCCGATATGAATCGTTCATTATCTGTTCACAGAACCCAAGTTCAAAAGAACTGAACTATTGCTTTAACTTGGACTAAAAAGACTAGGCTGCCTCTGGGTTTGGCTTTGATGATTTAAAACTCAACAGACATGTACCCGAATGAACTGAAGAGTGAGCTAAAAAAAAAAAAGATTTAGATTTCATATGATCAAATATAACAACATTAAAGTGAAACAACAAAAAAGGTTGAATCATGTCATCTGGACTTCGTTTTTTATAAATGACTGAGAAAACAAACTTTGTATTAAAGTGAAACAAGAACAAGTTGCCAGTTGACCTCTAAAATAAAAGATTCACTTTAACTCCCTTGACAAAGAAAGTTAACTTGGTTGACTCATCATGCACCGCTGGCACGTATAAACTGGATGTTACAGATGACGGAGGAGTTTTTATTCCAGATTACTGTTCTGGGAACTCCTGCAGAGGAGGCTGCTGGAAGGAATATAAACCTGATCCACGCAGGCGCCTTCACAGACATGGATCTCGTCTTCACGGCTCCTGCTGCTCAGCAGGACGCTTCGTTCCTCCTCGCTCTAACAATCGCAGAGTTACGACTTTCATGGCTTTTGTGAATTCAAGACCCTTAGATCAAATCTCCCTTTTCCTTCATAATGAAGACCCTTGATGGTTACACCCAAGCCTTACACTCTGTAACCTAACACACCCTGCTGATGTAACAGTAACAGTGAAGGATCATGGGAAGGCGTCCCTCAGGGAGGTTAGAGTTGCATTCAGGCCTAAAGAATCTGACCCGACCCAGCCCGAGCCCTAAACATCTTTTCTGAACTCGACCAATTTGCCTGAAATTACAGGCCCAAACCTGAAGAAAAAAAAAAACAGACTACTTTTTCAATTAAAGCTTTTACTGCTTTTGTAAGCAAATCAGTTTGACATGATAATTTAAAAACGTGTTTCAAAGAAAGGAAGATAAAAATTTCTTGTTTGTTAAAATGTCATCAAATGGATATTAACATACAAAACGAATAACTTAAAAAATCAACTCTAAAGATGGGCTATTATACAGATGAACAAAAATATTTTTAGAGCAAAATTATTTGGAAAAATACAGAACATGGCTTTTTTAATTGAACGTGCTGCTCACTTCGGCCTTTGTAGCTTCAAATGCTGTAACTTCCTTCACCGCAGATGACAGCAGGGTGCGGAGCGGGACACACGCGGTCGTTGATCCATCTGGCCGGTCAGCGGATGTGCGCGGCCGATGATCCAGTGATCCATCTGAAGATTACCATGACTTTTTTTTTTTTTTACCTCTTTCAACCAGCCAGTCAGACGTGAGCGTGCACCAGACCTGACACATCAGCAGAGTTCACTGTGCTGGCTTTGTAGAGTGAGTTCTCCCATTTTAAACCCACATCAAAAGCCCGTGACCGAGTTTGGGTTAACTGCGAGCACTGGATGAGAAGACTGTAGCTGGCTCCGAGGACACCTCCTGAACTCTGTGGACTCGGCTGAACTGATGACGGTATCAAAACGAGCGGATACTCTCACTTACATTGTTTACTTAAAAGAACCACACTCGATGGCAGGAGAAGATTTTTAACATTTTACTTGCAAGATCAGATTTTCAGGACAGGTTACATAAATATACATAAAATGTGCACATGAAGACCAGTAACAAGAATCTGCCTCGAGCTGCATTATCCACTCACTTTTATACACTTATCAGTTCAGCCAAGTCCACAGAGCTCAGGAGGTGTCCTCGGAGCCAGCTGCAGTCTTCTCACCTAAACATATGGTTCATGGGCAGAGATAAGAGAGTGTCTTGGGAGGCTGTTTTGATTATGTCTTGGGCTTCTTGTTCTCAGCCATAATCATAAAAACATCCATAAAAACTCTCCGACATATTTTCTTATAATGTTGCCTCGTGTTAGAAACAGTGTGTTGGATTATCAGACTGTTCTTGGAGTTATCGCTCATCACTGAAGGTGAAATGGTAATAATGTTTTTGCCCGTATTGTGTGTGTTTTTTTGTCTGCCTGTTTGCAAAACATCTTGTAAACTAATCCTTTGAGGTACATCTACAACTGATTAACTTTGGGGTCAACCCCATGCAAGATGGCCACCACTGCTAATCAACCAACCAACACAAAAATGGCTATTGCTCAGTCAATTTGACAGATATTAAGCTGAGGTTTGGCATAGCAGTAGCTGAGAGTCATCCTCAACACATCTTCCAAGATCTGACAATTTTGCATGAAATCGGGCATTACGATACATCCCTTCTCAGAATAAGATGAGTATAAAAGTTTTAAAATTTAGTCTAAAACTCTGAGGTGATAGGTGGTGGGCGAAATGCATTCTATCAGTGAAGGAAGAAATGGCAACAGCAATGTTTTACAGTGTATAATTTGTACCTGTGGTTCTTGCAGGTGGAGATAATCTACCCCACCCAGACCTACTTTAACATCCTGCCTAATGCAACGTTGGCCAGTATGTTTGCAAGTAATGAAGAAGCTCTAGGGATTGAGTTTCCCAAGCCGCCTGGCAACTTTTCCAGTTACTGTAAAAGAAACTGTGTGTACAGACATCTACTGTGCATTATAAATGTATGAAGCCAATGCGCTGCAGCAGTACTGTGATCCAATATTTTTTGTTTTGTTTTTATAGTCTGTTCATTGACTCATCACAGAATCAGTTTCAGAGTGAATTTGTAATTCTCTGGCAGGCTCCACAGACTTTGGCAACGTATCATTCATCGTGCCTGGTCTCCATCCTTTCTTCTACATTGGCACCGACGCGTTGAATCACACAGAGGAATACGCTGATGCCGCAGGTGTTGCAGCTCGCTTTGTCGACCAAAGTTTCTTGTGATGAAGACGAACTTCAGAAATGATCCGACGACTTCTGGCATCATCTTTTTCCGAGTCACATGGTTGGGTTGTTTCTATTTATAGTGTTTTCTTCTTCTTTTTTCTTTTCCTCCACTGCTCGCTTTTCCTGTGCCAGGAGCTAAAAAGGCCCAGTTGCACACCCTGAGGACAGCCAAGGCTCTGGTGATGACAGCTGTGGATGCAGTGTGCTGCCCTGATCTGCTGCAGCAAGAGAGAGATGACTTCAGCCTGGCCAAACCCAAACAGGAGAAGTGACTGGCATTAAAACTCTAAAAGATACGGGATACACTGAGCTTGATGCGACTAAAAGAAAAAACAAATGATGCTGACTTCTGGACAAATATCTACCAACATATTTGCAAACAAACACACAACTGATACAATATAAGATTCTCGACAGAACTCACTACACGCAGCTCAGATGATCTGAAATGGGATTCACATCAGATCTCTGCACCTTTTGTACTCAAAATACACCTGACCCCACTTCCATACAGCTCTGCTCACCCATTCACTCATTTTGGAAACAAGTCCTTATTCTTTGGCTGCCACATCCCATTATCTCCATCACTTTGTTTAATAGGTAACACACCTACACTCAATCGGACTCAGTCCAACAAAACAATGCCTCTTCTGGTCCTGACTATTGCAAAGAAAACATTATTTATGAACTGGAAATCTAAAAATGACACTAATATTGTACAATGGTAAAACTGGCTTGTAGACCACATCTCTCTAGAAAACGTGTGCCTGTCCACCCATAAAGTAATCTCAGAACCCCTTTCCATCTTCATCTGGTCCACACATAAACCTTTTACAAACATGACATAATTAGACTTTGCCCCCTCCCCTCCCTTTATTTTTTGTGCCTGGAACCAGCCTCAATCTTATATACACAGTGCACTGTGGTGTAATATGTGATTTGTGCAATATGAATATGTGGTGTAATGTTGATGTTTGTTGGGGTGAAATATTTTTATAATAAGCTTGATAACTTTTTCAACACCACTGTTTTCATTTGCCCTGAGGTTTCTCTCTCCCTCTCTCCATCTATCTATCTCTCTCTCATCTCTTCCTTTCATCTTCCCATCGCACTCTCCTCACTGGTTAGAACATTACCATTTCTATGTTCCTATCTTTAACAAGCCTAACCTGCTGCACATCCTTTCCAGCCTGATCCCTCTGTCTCTTCAGTTGATCTCTCTCTATCTTTTTCATTATTGCTCTCCTATGTGGAAATGACATTAGGATGTTTTGTTTCCTTTATTAATGACTGAGCTGTCCCACTTCTATCTTTTTCTTATGGACACACTTTATACTGTCACCATTTAAAGCAATGCCACCATGTATGTATGCATTAATATATATATATATTCTTTAAGGTAACAAAAAAGGATTCACTGATTGGTTTTTCAAATAGAACGGCTGCTCTGGCTCCTTCTCTTATGTTTCTCCTAGAAAACATTTTTCTGCCCAGCCAGCTTTTGCACTCATATCTGCTCAGTGGTGAGTGGCCATTGAGAAGGGGGTACTTGAGCAAATTTGAGCTCTTAACTCCTAAAGAGTCCGATCTTTCCCTCAGGACTTCCTAGAGATCAAAAACAGAAGGTAAGAGAGCGCAAAGTGGAATCAGAGACAGCAGGGGATCAGAGCTGGATCATATGACATGAAATGAATTTTAATGTTGCTCCCTGACTGCAGGGGTTCTTTACTTTGAATTCTTACTTGATTCAATGCACTCCTGTTTGCACCTAAATGAAACCCAACCAACATATGAAGAAATGAATGTTGATATTTGTGTATTGATGTGCATACAGATAAGCTCAAAACCTTTTAATATTAAGTTTTTTAAAACTTTTTTGTCCTTAATGAAGCGAACCCTTCATGCCTCTTGAGATGCTGATTTTTGTGAGCAAAACAAATAATTTATCAAACGGTAAATGGAGCTACAGAATTCTAATTTGTACGTGTTTCTTAGAAACAGCGGAAAATGGCACTAGCGTTCATTGAAGAACTGCATTTCACCTGATGCCATGCATGAAGTTGAAGAGAAGAGTCAGAGAATGTGACGTGAATGAGTCTCACGTATTAAATGAGGAAAAGTAGTCACAGTGCTGTTTGGTAGCATGGTGTGTAAACACACTGAACATTGGACCACAGATAGTTGAGGACAGAGTTGTCTCAGGAGCTTATAAATAAAATAATTGACCATCATGTTAGAGGAAAAGACTATAAAATCATCTCCAGGCAGCTTGATGTTCCTCTGTTTAAGTTTAAGGACCACAGGACTGAAGACAACCTCTCTGGAAGTGGCCACACGAGGAAAACTGATGACAAACTGAAGAGCTGGACAAAATGAACGGTAACCAAAGAGCCCAGAACAACTTACAAGTAGATTAGAGGTGAACTCCAAGGTTCATCACATCGTTACAGTACTCACTGTTTGAGCCAGAGTGGAGATGAGAGGACGACAGAGGAGGACATCACAAATGAAATCTAATAATAAAAAAGCAAAACTGAAATTGACCAAAGTGCATAATGAGAAACCACAAAGCTTCTGGGAGAATGTCATTTGGCCATATGGACTGTATGTTCACAGACACAAAAATGAAACCTACAAAGAAAAGAACATCTGGAACCCTGAATTTGTGCAGGGTACAATGAAATCTCAAGACTATCAAAGCATTCTGGAGCAAAATGTGCTGCAGTATCAGACAGCCTGGTCTCATTCGCCTCCTGCAGGATAAAGAGCTACTAAAAACAACCAAGAATAGCTAAAACACAAAACACTGGACTGTTCTGAAGTGGCCTTCTGTGTCCTGATCTGTTGAACATCTGTGGATGGAGTTAAACATCTGGAGAAGGAACCGTTCAAACCTGAGACAGCTGCTTATGAGGAGTGGACTAAAATAGCTGTAGACAGACGCTGGAGGCTCAGTTTTTACAAATCAAGTGATTGTCTGAAAAGGTTGTGCAACAAAATAAGTTAGGAGCCCTGTACACATGATCACCCACCTTTCATGGCTGCAGGTAACAAATATATTAAAAACATTTTATATAGCAACATATGTGCACTCTTTCCAGTCGTCATGAGGTCTGCCTGTGAATTATTTGTCCATTTTACATTTTTATTGAGGTGCTGTAAGAAATGATCTATCAGCCATGCATCTTAGAGCTTTTCATATTGATTGAATCACATGCAAGAAAAATAAATCACATCGGCTGAATTTTAAGTTCAGAGCAAATCATTTTCACATTTTTCAGAAATAAAACATTTTTTTAAACATTTCCCCGTCAACAAAAGGATTCTCAATTACGTGAGCTCAGCAGCTATACGTTTGCTTGTTTATTCATTGACATATTTCAATGTTCTTCTTGAAAAAAACATTTTTTAAACATAAAAATGATAAAACTATCCACTAACAGGTCACAGAGAACCTCAAAGCCTCACAACACCAAACAGAGGAGATGAGCTTCGGTCGTATAAAAATAAATAAATTAAAGAATAGGAAATAGGAACATAAAGAAAAAAAAAGTCGACACTATATTTGATGCTTGGGATTCTTTAGACACATATTTTACATTTGCATTTTTAATAGGCTAAAGTTTTTTTTACCTAAAGTGTCAGAACAGCTGCAAAACAACTGCACTGATCAGTTTACAAGAAAAAAAAAACACATGAACAAACGTGCGCTGCAAGAAATGAACTTTAGACGTAAAAATCATCTAAAATGTGAGCTTTTGTCGGAGATGGGTTGGTTTTGAATTTCCAAATATGTGTTTATGTATTTTCTTGCAGAATAAGAATGAAACTACTCATGGCTGAATCACCAACATCAGACGTTTTTATTCTCTAAAGACTCCTGTTATAGGTGCCGATAAAGGGATATGGCTTAAATATTTTCCCTAAAGGTTTATATGCTAAACTAATATTTTAAAGCCATTTTCATTTGGTTAATTCTCACTCAGACCTGTCTCTCTTATCACGCTTTAAATAAACTGGAATTACTGTGACCAAACATCAGGTTACAGTTTCTATCAGTCGGTTCAAATTCATATACCATAATGTGAAACCCCAATATTAGAAAAGTTGGGAGGTTGTGTACAAAGTAAAAAGAAATTAATAAAAGTATTTGCTATTCTCATAAACCGATATTTTATTCACAATGGAACCTGGTAAACAGCTTAAATTGCATCATTACTTAGGGAAAATAATGGTCATTTAAAATTTCATGGCAGCAACACATACAGGATGAGGCAACAAAAGGTCGTTAACGGGGTAGACGCAGGGCAGATGACTCGGGACCCAAAAGTTCCAGGTTCGACCCCCAGTCATTGCACATCTTGTGGTGTCTCTGAGCAGCACACCTTATCCACAAAAATGCTCCCCGGGAGCTTCCAATAGCTGCCCACTGCTCCACCTGGTGGTGGATGGGTTAAATGCAGAGAGCCAATTTCACCATTGTAAGGGAACATACAATGATGACAATACATAACACATTAAGACGTTAAAACTTCATCATACAAAGAAGAAGCTACACGTGAACTCTGTCCAGGAACACTGCCGTCTTCTTTGGACCAAAGCTTATTTAAAATGAACCATAAAGTGGAGAACTGTTTTGTGGTCAAATAAATAAAATTTTTTAATTATTTTTGGAAACCACAACTCAGTGTCCTCTATACTAAAGAGAAGTTATCAGTGCACAGCTCAAAAGCCTGCCTCTCTGATGGTATGGGGGGGCATTACTGCTTATGACTTGAGCAGCTGGCCTCTTCAATCCCTTGACGTTTTAAAGACTGTTGTGTAAAGAAGAGGGGGTGCTTCACAAGGGAAAACATGGTCCTCTAAATATTAATCTTTTTTTCTTCTTAAAAATAAAAATACACTTAGTTTCATAGGCTTACTATGTTTGCACTGTAAAAAAAATGGGTTTATGAGATTTGCATTCAGTTTTTAGTTTAATTTTACACAATGTCCCACATTTTTTAGAATTGGGGTATATGCAACAAATATTTTGAAGCAATCACTACCTGTGAGAAAAAAAAACACACAAAAAACATTACTTTTCCCCACAGGTTTAGTGTTAATAAACAGAAAATTCGTTTTACATTTTATCTGCGACACTTTGGACAAATTGATTTCTGTCAGTGATTCTGAGTAAAGGGTGGTAGCACCTCTGAAAACACTGACGCAATGCATCACGTTGGCAGCTCAATGTTTCAGGTCTCTCTTGTAAATGAGTCCCCGAGGCTCAAAGGGATTAACCTGCATAAATAAAGGTTGAATAAATGTTCACGTTAACCCAAAACTAATGGGTCATCATGTTTAATTTTTGATAATGAGCCTGCGGTCTTATCTGAACAGCCTTGTTTGTCCCTGCAGTATTAAAATCTGCCCAAGTGCAGGTTGAAAGCTCAAAAATCAACATGCTATCACTTTTTTTGTTTGAAGCGTACTAAAACTAAACATGTTTCTGTGATGTGCCAGACATTTTTATTTTTTTTCAGCAGCTGCTAAGAGATCAGCCCAGAGTTCAGAAAGTTATTCATCTTAGCCTTGAAATAGAACAGAGTCAGACACACCAACCTTTGAAACGCTGGGCTTTTGTGTTTTTCAAGCTGGATTTTCTTCAACCTTGGACAGATTCAAAGTTGTTAACTTGTTTCCTCCGGGATTAATTCTCTTCACCAGAACTTTTTTTTTTTTAAACAAAATATCAAACTACTCCTTGGACCAGTGGTTTGGTCATTGATTGTCGTCTTTAGTTCATATGCAGAGGCATGTGTGCATGCACGTTCATATTTGTTGTTGAAAACCTGCATCTAAAGTCGGTATCTGTGCACCTTGGCGTGCACGAAGTCCTCAGGTGACAACGAACCGTAGAAAGAACATCAGATGGATGGATTCATTGAAGCGGTGAATCCTCCGTCCTGATTGGTCAGCAGTTCATTTTCAACTCATCAGTTTTAAGAGGCTGGGTCATGAAGGCAAATGTTACCCATCTGGAGATGATGCTCATGCATTTAATGAGCAGCTTCGTTTTGAAAGCAAATGCAGTTCACAGTCTTCCTTTTAGCCCGTGAGCTAATGAGCCGAGCAGTTGTCCCATCATGCACTGCTCTCTTAATGCATCCCAGTTTATGAGTATATGGACCAGTAGATGATGTTAAAGAGAATGTACGCTCCGGGAAAAACAACCCTCGAGTACTTGTCTATGGCGTGGGTGTCAATCCAGATGTTAACATAACCTCTGGATGCCTTCACCTGCCCTGTGATCTGCGGGTCGTTCAGCGCCACCTGGGCCAGAATTCGTTCTTGGCGGCCACCATTTTCAGGCATCCCATAGTTTCCTGTGGTGTTGACATCCATGGACCCGTACCCGGTGATCTGTGGGTCGATCATCATCTCATCGGGGTTGCCGATGCCACACGTGCACGGCAGCTACACAAACAAACAAGAAACTCATTTGTTTCATACATGCTTTTTTCTTTTCAGCACATTTAAAGCATTTAAATGACTGATATGAAACATTCATAAATGTATAAAGAAAGATGTTTATGCTGGAAATGCTCCTCGAGGTATGTGGGCAATTTGGCTCCATATGCCACAACAGTTGGCAGAGGAAGAATAGCAACGCTGCAGTCCCAGAAATAATTCACCGTGGCCCTCAGAGCTGCTTCAAGTGAGCCAGTTTAGAAAATATTTATGTTTATTGGCGATGCATAATAATTAGCATGACATTTTCTGCCAGTTTTTTTAATATTTTGATGTGTAAAATAGTTTATGTAAAATCAGGTTACTGGCTGTGCTGAGCATTCCCTGGTAATGATTCTATTACTAAAACAGCTCTTGTTCTTTCTTATAAAAGGCACGACGCATCAACAATACATCACGTTATAGAAAGTTGTCAACTATAAAAGAGTTTTAGCCTTGAACAGGTGTGAAGTCTGTCAATTCAAAAATTATTTTGATAAATTGTAAATAAAAGGACTAGAATTTCACACCAACGTTTAGCTTAATATCTGTAAAACTGACTGAGTTATAGTCATTTATGTGCTTTCTAAGATCAGATGTGGTGGCCATCTTGGTTGACTTCAAAGTTGCATCCAGTGATTTCCTAAAATGTTCAGAAAACATCAACAAGTGGTTCAAGATAAATGTTGAAGTGAAGGGGATACAGCAGTCCCTCATTATCACGGGGGATTCGTACCCTGAAGCCCAGCGATAAGTGGAAAAACGTGAAGGAATAATAGTACAAGTAGTAAGTAGTAGTTTATTTTAGTATATATATATATATATATATATATATTGAGGAAAATAAGTATTTGAACAAGTTGCAATTTCTCCCACTTAGACATCATGGAGGGGTCTGAAATGTTCATCTTAGGTGCATGTCCACTGTGAGAGACAATCAAAAAAAATAAAAAATAAATCCGGAAATCACAATGTATGATTTTTAATAATTTATTTGTGTGTTACTGCTGCAAATAAGTATTTGAACACCTGTCAATCAGCAACAGTTCTGGCCCTCAAAGACCTGTTAGTCCGCCTCTAAAGAGTCCACCTCCACACATTAGTCTAAATTAGAAGCACCTGTTTGAGGTCGTTAGCTGCATAAAGACACCTGTCCACCCCACACAATCAGTAAGACTCCAACTACTAACATGGCTAAGACCAAAGAGCTGCCCAAAGACACCAGAGACAAAATTGTAGAACTCCACGAGGCTGGAAAGGTCTACAGCACAATTGCTAAGCAGCTTGGTGAAAAACATCAACTGTTAGAGCAATTATTAGAAAATGTATGAAGCTAAACATGACTGTCAATCTCCCTCAGAAATGTTTGACGTCTGTAACTGCAAACAAAGTACTGTACCAAATATTAACATTGATTTTCACAGGAGTTCAAATACTTATTTGCAGCAGTAAAACACAAATAAATTATTTAAAAAAAAAAAAAGATTGTCTCTCACAGTGGACATGCACTTAAGATGAAAATTTCAGACCCCTCCATGATTTCTAAGTGGGAGAACTTGCAAAGTCGCAGGGTTTTCATCTATTTATTTTCCTCACTTTATATATAGGTGTGTATATATATTTATACAGTATTTTCCTACGTAAATGTCGCACCGCCCTATAAGTCACATCAGTCCAAATATGTCTAAA